TTGATTATGTTCCTGGGCTCCATGTGGTCGAACTGCAATTTTTTACTATGAGAATGTACATCTTCTAGCACATCACTGATTCTGATCACGCTTCGAATGAACCTGTTATGCATATTTTCCGTGGCAATCAACCATTAACGATAATAACACAGCCCCGTACTGATGCCACCATTAGCGACGAATAATTTACACAACACGGCGCTAGTTACAGTGTTGCCATTATTATAGAAGACGTGTCATTAGGGTATTTTGTTGGCATGGCTGGAAACGTTTATGTAAACGACCAGGCTACGTTTCCGTTGAATCGGGTTTGTTATTGATATTGCCGTACAGGGCACCATGAAATAAATCGTACTTACCTGTGCAACGCTATTGAAAACCGTTCGTTCCGGTGGTTCGTCCCGAACTGTTGGGACGTAGCTGAACGCTGATTTAGCGGCCAAAGGTTCGTTCGCCGTCATTAAACCTGGATAGTCGCTTAATTGTCTTCTCTGTTCTTCCTCCGTCGCCATATTATTAGTTTCGGGATCTGCTTCCATCAGTAAATCTTGTTTTAGCGATAAATGGTACACGTATTATCCCAGTGAGCTCAATGACAGCAGCACTACAACGCGAAAGGTAACTAAGTACCAACGTGCTTAGCGACGCATGAATTATTCATAAGATGCAAAGTAGACTTTTACCAACATTGTGTACTAGTAATCATTTTTACCTTGCCCGTACCATCAAAGATGAAAGGGAAGGGTATATTAAGGGAAAAATTTTGTCCGGCGTTGTCGTTGTTGTTGTTGTCGTTGTCGTCGTCGTCGTCGTCGTTAATAATTGTTATTGTGTGCATAATAACTTTACTAATTCTATTCCAAACTTTATCAAACTTGGTCACCTTATTCATCAGTATAAAGTCTTCCCTGAGTTTGAACAACAGATGTCCTGTATGAAAATATCATGCAAAAATTGAGAAAATCTGATAAAATATTTTGACTGTTTCTACTTGACTGATCACTGGTGATACACATCAAAGGTCACTGATCTCAGTGGAAATATGCATTGTTGTATGTGTTCAATGAAGCAAATGATTATCTTGTAATAATATCCTTGGTAATGTATCTCAGAATCCCATACTGGGGTTCAAAACCAACTCA